CAGGATTGACCATCGTAGATCACATCTACGGTGGGAAAAGTGGCGGGAGGATGGGTAGGCTGGGAACTAGGGGATCGGACTTCTGTCGGGGATCGGATCTCCGCTGGGAACGTCGCTTCCCGATGTCTCGGTGGAATGTCATCGAAAGATGACACATCCTTTATCTTATTTTTTAGAGTTTTATGATTTGGGATGAGGGGCAGGGGAACAAGGCGAGGAATTCGCCTTTACATAAATAAAAGAAAGTGAAAGACTTACCTCAGCTAGTGCATAGGAGAGCAGGTGAGGGGAGGAAGAATATGGAGAAGTTACATATAAATTGTATAACGCACGATACGGTGTTGTGGCCCAGCTTTAGGCTACCCCTTCGTTACAAGGACGGCTGAGCTGTATTACTCGAAAAACTTCCGGGTGCCACTTGCACTGGCTGCGACGATGGCCTACTAGTAGAAGTAACACACAACAAATGCTCAAGTACTGCACCGAGAAACGGTCGTTACTTGTATATGCGGGTGGCCACCGGTGGGGAGTTTGCGTTACTCTAGCATTACACGAGCAACACTGGGTGTTTACTTGCATCAGCTGCCACTACACGAACTTTGATGGCATGTTACCTGTAATCTGATTTTTGCCAATATCTTAATCAAAAATCCCACGAAATCCGGGGATTGGCTGTCATTGAGCTGTAAGGAATCATTGAGCTGCATCAGTTCCAACGGGTCCTGCGGTGATCAACGTTTTCCCGGTAGTGTATGAGCCCACTGCGTATTACTTGGTACCAGCAGCTTCTCGATCGCTAGTTGTGGTGGGGTTTTTATGGGTTGTTGTTTGGGGGTTTGCGGGTGTGGTGCGGCGGTAAGTAAGACCTTTGTAGTGCAGTGGATAGGGGATTTTGCCTAACCTGTTGGGGGATGATCCCCGCATATCATCTCTGCATCATTTGTTCAGATTCGTTTCGATGGTAAATTGGTACCGGCATGTGCCAGAGTGGGAAATCCATCAGCTTACTTGTTGTAAGTTGGCAGCTTTACCAGCGTGTGGTTGCTTTTGGCAAAATCTGTCATTCGGGCTATTTCCGAGTGATTCTGTTTCCCAAGAAAACTGAATATAAAGCAAGGAGTTCTGTTTCGTTTTCGAACTTCTTTTGCATATTTCATCCAGTCCTTCAGCTTACTTTAAAAATACATTTTTATGAGCTCATATTTTTTGTGAGCTTATTTTTTAGACTTTTATTTTTTATGGGCTTATTTGTTTTATGGGTTTATTATGT